GTGGCCAGACAAGGCTCTGATCCTCGCGCCGGGCACTCGGGCAGTGTTTCTTCTCTTGTTCCCAGGAGCATTCACACAGAATTTCCTTTCTCTGAAGTTTTTTTCCAAATTGCACAGATATTCTTTTTAGCATTACACTTATATTGTCTGTCCTGTATCTGCCTGTACTGAGAGGTTTGCTCCCCTCCTGTGCCTGCCCAGTCATTTCCATATAAAAAGGCTTTGTTCCAGATACGGGAGACTGCAGTCAGCTCCTGTTCTGAGTATACTCACATCCCATTGCAAGGCATTTCAGGCAATTAGTTCCTCCTAGCTTATTACATGACTCTACTCTTTTTGGGTCTAATTCTGGTCAGACATCTTCCCAAATCTCTGGTGAGGAGTGGAAGGGACCCTTGCAGTGCCCTGATGAACCATTTGTTCCTTAAATTAGATTATCTTGAACTGTTTATACCAAATATGCATGTACAATATAAGTTTGGTGTACATTGCAACCCTGCAGAAAACTTAGATGCAAATAATTTCCATCTCTAATTCCAGCTTAGAACCTAAGCATTGTAATACGACATTTACACAATTATTTTCAAAGAATGAGACAAATCTTTAGCTAATAATTCCCTGTGCTGCTTTGCAAAGAAGCATGTGCAAAATTTATAATCCATGTACCACTTTCCAATAAAAGAAATAGAAACGAAGTGTCCAGCTACACTTCAGTGTAAGTTTGCCAGCATCCTGTGGCCTTTTTCGTTTCAGAGGAGTCTCTCTTTGAATCCATTTTTCATTTTGTTAACAGAAACTTAGATACAAATATCTGGGTATTTTCAAATATAGGGTTTTTTTATTTTCTTTCTGTTCCTATTTAAGTCTCAAAAATATTATAGCCATGATTTAACAGCCTGTGTTGTGTGTAAGGAAGAAAATAAATAAGACAATAAAAGAAAGCAGGAATTTACAAGTCCAGTTGGGCAAAAAGGGGACTTAAAACTGGCAGGTATGGGTGTTTATGCTTCCACTGCCACTCTCATTCTAGTTATGTTATGACACCCAGTTAGGGACAATATCTCATTGTTCTAAGCATTGTTCTAATTCACACTGGTGGCATTGGTTTCAGAAAGGTGTAACTTTTTCTTGACTACCTCTGCAGCTGAAATAAAATGTAACTTGTCTTTTCGTATAATCCAGAATTGAGAGTTTACTGAAGACAGAGCTTTATCTTCTGCAACTCACCCAGGAAAAGCTTGCTCTGAAACAAGGGCAACCATGGATGTGGTCTGAGATCCACATGAGGTTTCTACACAAGGATGCTGTGGATTTTGGCCTTGATTCTGGAACTCTTATTTACCTCAGCAGTCTGCAAAAGCACCACTGAAGCCAGTGCTTGGGCTGGCTTGAGAAGATCCCTGTGGACCCTCCTTTGCTTTGGGGCATTTCATTTATTTATTTGCTGTGTTGCAGTGGATTGCAGTGCAGTGCAATTTCCTGTTCTTTCACAGTGACCTGTGAGAAAAGTTTATCTGTCCTTTCCCAGCATATGTCAGAGGCAGAAGTAAGTCATTAAGGGACTAGCAGAACTTGACTGGCGCTAGCCCCTGCCTCCACTTGAGAGAGCAAGCACATTAGCTGCTGAGATCTACAGCAGACAAGCTGCACTTGCAGGAGTTTGTAGTATAAGCCCTATAACTAACCAGCAACTTGCTCCATCACTCGCAAAGGTTTAGCTGTTGTTGTTGTAGTTTTCGTAGGAAAAAGGAACAAGAAGAGCGTGAGTCAAGAGGCTGCAGCATTACAAAACATTTCTGTTTTTCTGAAAATGTCATGCTGATGGCATCCTGTAATCTCAGTGATGCAAATCCTTCTCTGGTTAGGAAAGAACATTGGCAAATAGCCTAGTTAGGTGGTCAGAAATGCCCTTTATAACATAAAAATCAATGAAACAGTACTGAAAGCATGCAGAGCTGGGTAACTTATGCTGAAAATACCCAGGAAACTTAGTTGTCTTACCTGTGAAAAGACATTTCTTTTTGCAAAGCTACGTTGTGGAGCCTAGTAAATACACTAAGGCCTATGAAATTATCAGATACAATCTACTCCTCTCACAAAATCATCTGCGGCTGAAGCCACCTGGTCTTCCAAACGCACAAGTTTGTTTGCAGCAAGGTTGTCACTGTAGCTTTTGGGTTCTGTATTCCTACTGCGAAGAGAGAAGCATGTAGCTGAAAACGATGACCGAGGTGAAGGTACTAACCTTGCTTCCCAGGCAGGCAAAAGGGAGCCTGCTGGGAGTGCTTCAGGGCAGCACAAACATGGACGGTGGTGGGGATGGACTGAGGTGAAAGCCCTCTTGTCAGCATCCAAAATACCTCATTCCTCTTTCTTTACATTTTTAAAAATTAAAATAGGTAAGAGCCTGCCAAACAGCCTTTGTATCACTCTGAAGTCTTAATCAAAGTGTAATGTAGCACAAAGTCACACTTCCTCCTGAACTTCAATTTGCCTAAGAAGTCATTAATTTGATACACACCGATGGGTGTTATCTTGCTTTCAAGGGGCAGCAATGAGTTGTTAGCCAAACATGTGTAAAAAACAGTTAATGGGAATCCAAGCGGGAAATGCTACAACCTATGTAGAAAGATTGGAAGGGAAAGAAGGAAAGGATATAGTCTTGTACATCGAAAATATGATATAAAAATTTAGCAAAGATACAAACCAAAATCAACTCCTTTCCGCTTTTCCCTTCCAGTCTTTCTGTCTAGGTTTATGTTTTAGTAAGGGATGAGTGAGCTGGGCCACATCTACAGAATGAGACAAAACAGCCAATTATGCAGGGCAGGATGAACGGGAGAGCATGTTTGGAGCCCATGTGGTATTTATAAGACTGAGAATGGCAAAAGAGATGTTAAAAATGGAAAGGAGGATAGCACATCCTTTATACATTAAAGCAATGCTGTTAAGAAGTATGAATTTGCCTGCTGTTGACTAAAGTCAAAGCAAAGCTGAGGCTGGACAACAGTTACAGCCTTAGGACCTGAGTCACATGAAAACACAGTCTTTGCCCTTGCTGGCTCCCTGGCTGGTTACAGTTTTTCTGTCACTGGCCTAGACAACACCACTGTGCCTCTGAGTACATAGGAGATGCCTGGGTAGCCTCTATTTCTGGACTTTCGTAAGTGAAAGCATCTTTATCAATTGGACACTATTACTAATACTTGGAACTTGTGTCATTTTTAAATGGGAAAATCTTAAAAGCATTTGTAAGTCTCACCTCTGACCCTTCTGTCTATTAAGTGTTATCATGTACGACTATGACGTCGTATTAAAGATTATCTCCAGGAAATATTTAATTAGTGAGTCAGCAGTTTCATAACTCAGAGCTCCTCTCTGCCTTTTTGTCGCTGCAATGTTGTAACTTTGCTTTGCTTTTTCCCCCGCTGTTCTATGAAGTGCATAAATATACATTGCCAATACTGAGCAACCAGTTCAAATTTTTAGTTAACTAAATCATTCAAGTGTTTTAAATCTATTAACAAGCTGGTCATTAAATGAATCACTGATGTATTTCTCAGCTACTCAAGCTAAGAAACTATAACTGATGACCTATGAAAGCATCAGTGTGTTAAGAAAAATTAGCTAGAGAAAAGCAATTGGCCACTTCAGCAGCGCCCACCAATCTGAACAGAAAGATTCACCAATGCCAGCTTCAATTAAATTACCAGAAATCAGATTTTGACACAGACTAATGTCTAGGGGAAGTAACATGAAGCTGCTACACAGGCAGGATACATCTTTTCTTCCTTAAGTTACTACTGGAGGATTTTATAAAAGCATTTAAAATGGCTCAAACATGGAAAGCTCCAGAGTAAAATCTGGGGTGCAGACTGAGAGAGATGGATTTTAGACCTACCACTTATTTGTACAGCGGAACAAAGCAAACCTATGGTCCAACCACTCTGCCTGGTTGGGGACAAGTATAGTTTAGATCTAGATCCAAATTCTGAGCCCTGGCTAGGCCCACCCCATATAGCAAGAAAACTGAAAATGTTGGGTGTAATGTTGAGTTCTTCCATTGCTCTTACCCAGTGACAGGCGCTGCATGGAAGGCGCTGCTCAACCCTCGTGTTGTGATGGCAGTGGGCAGTGGTGGGGCAGTGGGGACAAAGGGCAGGGCAGCATGAGGAGTGGGGGCACAGCCCCATGGTCCACACATCCAGCCAGAGACTGGGGGGGGGGGGGGGAAGTAAAATCAAGAGAAGGGAAGAAGGGAGGTAGGAGTTACCCACCCCCTTAGGACCTCCATCAACCGTGGCACTGTGAACCCCCATGCCAGGCACTGCATCCTCGTGGGGCTTGAGACCTTCTGTCATCTACAGCCATCATCACACTGGTGTCTAAGTGCTTTACAGCTAAGCCACCTGCTCTTAACAAATGATGTGGTTTTCTGCTTTTTCCTCTTTTCTGGCTCAAACCAGCCAAAAATACTCAGCTACCAGCTGCTGGGTGAACCAGACATTTTTCACATTTGCTGGAGACAGCCCCACTCAGGGGTTGCCTTTTGGAGTCATAAATGCACATGGTGTCCCACCACACTGGGGGAGAATTACAGCTTGAAAACCAAGGCACTGTTGAAATTTGCTTGCTCAACCACCCTGAAAAGCAATCTAAAACCTTCCTGTTAACACAAATAGATGAAATTTCTGTCTGACTTGCATTTGTGTGATGTTTTTCCCCATGACACTGCATGTAGATGAAGATAGATGGTAGTAAAGTCAGGAGTCAAAGTAGCAGAGGAGAGTAGGAGCGTGCTCACCTACAGCATGAAGGTGCTCCAGCGAGTGAGTGCTTGAAGAGCAACTTCTTTTTTTTACCTCCTCCTTTCTTTTGCAATCATTGCTTGCTTGACAGGCCCAGACGGAATTACATCACTTCCTAAAACCCATCAAAGAGAGTCCATCTCCTCAAGAAATGCAGCTCAGATGCACCCCGGCAGGAAACAGGAAATGTAAATGTTTGGGTGAAGCAGGGAGCCAGCCGAAGCGCCCCTCGGGTGGGAGCACCGCCAAGGTAACATGCGAAATCAAAACCTCATGGTGCTGCTTTCTGCCCTGTCACTGGCTGGAGGATCTGCCGGGAATGGTGAGTAAGGAAGCACCTTTTTCCCCTGAGGTGGGACTGCGTTTCATGCCTGCAGTGCTGGGACTGAGCTGGAGGGCAGCACCCTCCAAACTGAGCGTGAGGAGAAGATCTGTGGGGACTTGCTCTCTGCTGCTTTTCGCTGTGTTTACCTGCTCTGTTTTCAGTTCTCTGACTTCTTCCAAGCTTTGACTTTTTTCCTTTACACCTAACCCCGAACAGCAGCGACCAAATCCTACAGTTCCTGAATTGCGGGTGCGTAGGGAACCTGAGTTTCCCCGCTGGCCCACCAGGCATTTTGGTTCTAACTTGAATTATTTGTTGTACTTTTTTAACCTCACACACATATTATCAGCATTTAATAGCAAAGTTAAGGACAGAGCATGGATTCCATTCAAAAGCTGGCTGCTGCTTTCCATGCTCCCTGTGCACTGGAACTGGTTTAACAGAAGATCAGCCGGTTCTGGAGACAAATACTTTGAACTCTCAGCCCCAGAACAAAGTGGTCAGCACCGTGGGTTTAGGTCCTGACCTTCTGAAGGGAAGAACTGTGAGTGGAAAAGCCGCTTGCAATAAAATCCTGAAGCATTGGGGTGTCTTTGCAGAGGCTCTCACCTGTTTGCAGAGGGTAGTTTGTTCCACTGGCATTTTGGCAGCCAGTGACTGAGCAAGACAGGCAGCTCTTTAAGTAAAACCTTACCGGGTGGTGTTTATATGCCTTTTGGTGTCAAACAAATCACTGCCTTAGTGCCTCAGTGTGGACTAGAAGTGTTTGCTGCCTCTGCTGCTGTAGTGATCGAGAGCTCTCCAGAAAGCAGGGAGAGAGGAGGGTCACTCTCAGCTATCACTGGACTTCCTTTATTAAGGTTTTAAAATGCATTGGTGAAGTAGGTGGTTTGGTATGGGCAGTTTTTCCCTGATAACCATCACTATAAGCAGGGTGTAAAACTGGGCTGCTGGCTCCAGGCATGCTGCTGAGCTGCTTGCAGTCAGGGTTCTTGCTTAGCTGTAAGAGTGAGCTAAGTGAGGTATGAAATGGTTTGGTTTTGTCTGCACTACTACAGCCCTGCTGTATTACAGACACGTGAGGAAAATACTCTGCAAGCAGTGAACATAGCTCAGAACCAAAGTGGTCCGAGGAAAAAAATCCTGCCATGGACAGAGCAGAGTGGAGGTTCCAGGGAAAAGGAGGGGCACGATGCAAGCAGTGCACAGCGATCAGGCTCCAGCTTCCTTAGTTCATTTGCAGTGTACTGATCACTAGTATTTCATCACCATCTCCACAGGGAAGAGGGACACCTTAGTCCTCAACCTCCCCACCCCACAGCTGGACCCCCCTTGCCCTTCTTTGTGATGGGCATTAAAGGCTGCACAAAGCACTGGGCAGATACCACATACCAGGTGCCCTAACCCACTGCCTTTAGAGGCTTCCTACTGGTGGGTCCACCCTAAAATTCTAGTTGATTTTGAAATGGTTCCTCCATGAGAGTGAGTCAGTCCTGACAGAGCTATCCCAAGCCAGTCCCCAGCTGCTGGGGAAAGGGAGGAGAGCACCCATCAGGAGAAGAGCAGGGTCCCTTGCCCCCCATACAAAGGCTACTTTTACTTGTGCAGCCAGCCCCCAAAAGAACCTGGGGCTTACTCTGACTGCAAGAGTGGGAGGGGTGAAATTGTGAACTTGGGCTTTGAGGGGGGAAAATTGAACTGGAGGGGGAAGAGTTTATGTAGAGGCTTATGTATCCCACAGGCACTGGAGGGTTGGGAGCCCCCCCACTGAGGGCAGACTCCCAGACAGATCCTTTGCTCTTACCCCTCCTCATTTACAAATCAACAGGGCAGGACCTTTAAAGGAGCTTTATTCCTTCTTCCTCCAGTCCCAGGCACAGCCCTCAACTTTAAAGCAGTCTGCTGTCTAGCAGCCACTTACTCTTATTGCCTATTTTGTATGATTAAATCTTGCAGCATAGACAGATTGAAGCCCTTATAAGTCCTGTTCCTGTACCATGCTGGAGCCTTGTAAAACCTTAGCCTTGCCATTTGGATTATGATTAACAGACGGTTTTCTCCCGGCTATGCTGCAATTACTCTAAACCAGCAGCACTTAGAGCATGCCTGAAGTCTAAGCTCCAGGTGATGGTGTTCACTGCTCAGCCTTGCAGCACCCCTAAAAACCTACATAGGTGTGTGCTGACCCTAGGAACAAGTATTAAGGCCCTTACCATAGCTTACAGGAAAAGGCTGTGACCCTGCAGCCATTTCCCAGGGTGTGCAGTGTCCCGCAGTGTTTGGTGAAACATGTCGAAAATTGCAGCATAAGTGGTCTGACATGGGGAGCAAGAAAGCATGTGAGGGAGAAGAGCAGCAAAACGTGCGAGATCGCTCAGTGGAAGAGCTGGGATGATTGCAGGCAGTGCTTTAATTTGGCTGTGTCTCTGAGCTGTCATTTAGAGCTGTTGTTCAAAGAAACATTGCTATCAGAGATCCAGACTTTCAGCAGCTTTTACCATAAGTACAGGCAACCCCTTTGTCTTCAGCAGAGAAGCGCCCTTTAGGTTAAGTCCCCTACAAAGCCAAGGTCTTTAAGGGAGTGATATTTTTGACCTGCTACCCCTAGAGTAAATAACTTGAGAATGGGTTTGAATCCATCAGTCACCTTGCTTCTAGCAAAGCAACAACATGAGAAATAAGGATTTGCTACATCTTCTCTTTCCAAAGTGCAGCCCCCTAAAAGCAGATTAAAACCCCTTTCTACTGAACACATCAATTCCTTGTACATATTTACTCCTATTACTCCCTTTTATCCACACACACAAGCTTCTACTGTGTTTTATTCAAGAGCTTCAGGGATACTTCAGAAAATCTCTCCTTTACATCAGCAAGATTGTATACTAAATTTCAGTCAGTGACACCAGTCTATTTTCCTTCAAGAGATTTCATGATAGCTGGAAAGCCTCTGGAGCTTTTGAATCTTTAATTTCAGGGTCCTCCTGAGAGCAAGGAGCATCGAGAGATCTGCATCACGGTGAAGTCACACGGGTATCACTGATGCAGAGCTAGAAGGCCACGAGATTAAGTAGATGTGATTAAATGCATAAATTTGTCTGGAAACCTTTAGTACTGGGGGTGAGAAATGAGACTACAGGTTCACAGTTTGACTCTAAGATGCATGACTGAATTTGCAACACTGGCAGTTAACACAGCACTTCAGCTGGATGGCAGTACAGTGAGGAAAAAAGCAGTTTCCATCATCTATAAGTGAGCTTAAACAGTTGTTTCCTCTTTCAGCTCATACCTAGATAACACTTTCTAAGCACCCCATTTTAATAGGATCTTGTTCACAGATTAGCCATCCTGAAACGTTTGTGCTCCTCACCATTAGGGCGTATGCACCCAACAGCTAGCCTGCAGGCTTTTAAGGATTCCTCTTCTAGCCTGACTGACACGCGGGACCTGCCGCAACAGGCAGCTGGGCGAGCCCTGGCTACTGCAAGGAACAGCCCTTCTTACAGCAAGAAATGCAGGGAGAGGAACAGAACAGGGATGAGTCAAGCAATAGGAGAGAGGATCATACAGACCACGTGGAGTGGTATGACTGATACCACCAGAGGAGTGTGTGTATGGAGCAGAGTGATACAGGATCTGGTAACTTTACATACACAGCTTTGCAGGCTTTTCTTGGTTTGTCACCCTCTTGTGAGCCCTCCTTTCACTGTGTTTTTATAGCTTATAGGAAAGTTTAGAGAAACAAAAAATCTCCTTTCAAAATAATAAGCTTGACTGTACCATTGGCTTAGCTCTTGCTTTTTCTCTATACCATCCTTTCTTTTTCTGTAAACAGGTACTACAGTGTAATTTGAAAGATTCCCTATAGAGACCCTTTCCTCGAGTCTGATGAGGAGGCAGCAGGGAGACTGATGATTTTACATCAGAACCAAATGTGCTGACTGATGGCTATTTTGCCTTGCCTCCCATCCAGCTGAAATCAGAAACCTGTTTGCCCACTTACTTCAGCGGGAAGCTCATATCGCCACCTCTGTGTGCTATGGCACAAACCTCAGAGGAAGAAACGCTGCAACAACAGAAATTGTTTGTTTGTTTGTTTGAGATGCAGTTGTCTGGACTGAAATCTGTAAAGCTGCTGGGTAGATTCAACTCCCTCTGTCTCCTTTGAAAGGCAGGCTTGGGAGCGATAGGCAGAAGAGCTAGAGGGAGGTGTGTTGAGGCAGCAGGTGAAAAGCAGGAAGTAAGAGCAATATCCTTGCAAGAACATTGTGCAACTGGCTGTCCTTCTGCTGACAGACTTATTTAATTCACTTGCGGAAAAGATCTCTGTAAGAGGAAATGGTGTTCACAGAAGAGATGCTGTTTTGCTCCTGAAATTATGCAAAGTGAACAAAAATACATGGCAGCAAGGTCACTCCCTGTGATTTGCTGTTTTCTTTGCCTAGAGACTAGAAAAGGTAATTCTATTTCACACAGACAAATGATTTGAAATCTGCTTCACAGCCCAAAACCAGGCAAATAAAAAGTACCAGAGACGCTAGAAAAGTCTCTCTTGGAAATCAAACGCAGCATACACTGCAGCTGAAAGTTCAGTACTGCACTTAATGAGGTGTGACTGGTTGCTTTTGCTTTCAAGTCACACCGCGCTTTAGACATTTGAAAAATCCATTTTAGCTCTCAGAGTAAAAGAAAAATAAAGGTATTTTCCCCACAAACTTTCCCATTTGTACTATATCAAGCAATGGATTTGTCAGAATATCAAATGCAGCAGATACAGGCTTCAAGGGCAATGGCTAGAAAAGGAAAATGAAGCAAGGTCATTGATGCAGTTTGGTGGGGCTGTGGTGGTCTATCATGCCACGTTCTGTGGTGCAGACATCTCTAGTAATATCTCCCTGCTCCATGCAACAGCAATAGAAGCAGAGCAGCTGCAGGCACTGGGGACTATAAATCACCTTGGGAAAGAAAAGTCAAGTGGCCGAACTAATAATGGAGAGGAGCTCTCCTTCCCATCCTCTGGAATACTATGAAGGACAGCCAGCAAATCATGGGAAGGGGTGGAGAAGCACACATGTGAAGGGGACATTACCTACAAGGAAGGCAGAAATTATGTTTTGCTGTTGACTGAAATACTAAATACAGAAGGAAATGACAGAGAGCCTATAGATATGAAGTGCTTTGCCACTGAACACCTGACATTTTCATTGTTGTATTATGGTGAAAGAGTCTTGTGACCATTGTTGCGTTAAATACTATATGCAAACATTAGGTATTATTTATTAAGTGTTAAAATTCTTCCCTAGTTTTTAGGAAAGGAAGAAACAATCATGTGCCTGAGTGACAAGCATGGCTTAAAAATCTAGATAAATTATTGCTGTCATACTCAAATAATTTTATTCATTTGATATTGGGTTTCCTGGAATATGGTCTCATGAGATACTCATCTCCTCTTTGATACAGGAGACAGGAGATGCTGCAGAGTGGATTAAGCAAGAGGTAGCACTCTAATCCCAGTTTTTCTCTTTTACTTGGCGTCCCTGAGAAGGACAGCATCCGTGTCCTTCTGATTTCTCATTTGTAAAATGGAGATAACTGCTCATCTCTCAGGGCCATTATGAAGATTAATGTGTTTACAAAAGCATTTAAAATGCTAAGTCCTGTTCGTTCCAGTCCTGTGAGATTGAAAATGCCAGCACTGAAATGCTGAAAACCTTAAGCTCTTGCTAACTCTAGTGGAAACTACGGCTGCCCAGCATTTTATGAGAACAGGGAGAAACAGGTCATTGCAAAAGTCATGAAATCCCATCCTGCTTTATTGCATAAAATGAGAGCTGTAGCACACCGACGTTGTATCTGAAAGGGCAGATAACAAAAACTCCTCATTTAATTTCATGCTAAGAAAATTACTGAAGGCTTTGCATTTGGAAACATGCGTGTGTAATTTACCTAAGGACTGATTCCTGCACCTTTGGTTTCAACAGGATTTTTAGCATCAGTACAGAATACAGTATCAGCCCAGAATTTGCTGTACTTGTGTTGAACTTTAAATTCCATGACAGTCAGCAGATTTTTAATTAGCCTCAAAAAAAGGTTTGTTTCACTATTACTAATACAGCAAATTTCAGCCACTTTTCTTGCAAAATGCATGGTAAACAAGACCAAAACCCCTAGTCCTAGCATATGTGAAGCATAACCAGCACTGACTCTCTACCTTATGCTCCTTCAGCCAGCCCATAGGACAGAGGAGCAGTTAATTCCACCTGTATCCAGTGAAGTCCCCATGTTACTACCACCTCTTCACGTCCATGCAGAAGTGAAAGTCAGCTGCTTCTGCAGGCTTCAGGCTTCTTTTCACCAGTTCTGTTTTTTACAGTGAAACAAATTCAAATTTGAGAAAGAATCGAGGAGATGAGTGAGCTGGAGGAATTCGTGAACCAGGGATAATGTTCTCCCTAAAGAGAGCACTAACTCCTTGGGTAAGGGCGGGGATGAAAGAGGTTGCAGCTGTACACGCAAAGGCTGAGGAGCAAAGCAGGATAGTGTAGTTTACTGAGAAGCAGAAGACTTATGTGAGAGTGAAACCAGATGCCAACCTGCAGGGAAAAAAGTCTATTTGTGCAAGACAGCTGCGTGCAGACAGACCACGCGCGCTGACGTGTCCCAGTAAAAGCCAGCTGAAGAACATGGTCAGGACTGGTAAGATTTTGTGATGAACTTGCAATCTAATTTTACATCTGATGCCCCAGACTCCAAATATGATGTCTGTGGAGCACCTGCTGATTTGTTTTTAAGAAAGCAAATATTTACTTTTCATCAAATGAAAAGTAAATATGAAAGCTGTATACTTTGTCTCACTGATAACACTAATAAAAGCCACAAAATACTAAGTTGTCCTCATATACTCGGCAGGCTTTGAAACTGATGGTTCAGGAGATGGATCACCGATGTTACCCACTGTTACAGTAACGCCTCCTGCTACACATTCTTCCACCGCAGATGACCACGAGCCAGTACTTGGCACTGCAGGTGCTACTGAAAGCGGCTCTGAAGCAAGAAGTACTCCAAGTACTGAAATGGATACCGTGAACGATCAGGACAGCCTAGATGCAGCAGAACAGTCTATCTTGATATATGTTGTCCCTGTCGTGCTGCTGGTCCTGCTGATTTTGCTCATCGTATTTTTTGTAATACACCATAAAAGGAAAAAGTCTAAGCAAGGTAAATTTGTCTTCTTGTGCATCAGAAGGTTATTTTTAGGACATGCTTGACATTAACGGAATGTTATTTGGAGGCCTGGAATACCGCATTTAGGTTGTACTTCTCTGGTTGTAGCTGGATGTTTGACAGATAGGAAAGAGATCCACCAATGGCCAGCAGCACCTGGGCACACATCCCTCCTTGGGTGGGAGCTAGTTCTGCTCCTGCTCACACTGCACTGGCTCATGGGAGCCACAAAACAAGCTCCAGCTCCTGGCAGTGCCGGGAATGGTGTATGGCTACAAAAGTTTATTCTGTCTTTATACTTGATAACTTCCTGCAAGGCAAATTTAATGCTTCTATTGCCTATACTGCCCACAAGATAAAGCTGCATCAATAAAATAAGAACAAGCAGAACCATTTTAAGTAACACTTTTAAGGGATCCTGTAGGGTGGTGGCAGCTATGAAGATACCATGAGTATGAGTTAGGAATCCCATGGTCAGAGTGCCTGGTTGCTATGATAGGGCGAGAAGTGCTTCCAAAAGGTACCTATATCTTGGTATAAGATTGCAAAGAAAATGGTAACTTGGAGAGTCAAGCCACAGAAAAACTGAGGATTAAAACCACACAGTTGGTGAGGTCCTGAAATGCTGAAATGGTCATATCAGTGTGTCTATAGAACAAGACTGCAGCTATAAGCTCCTCATGTTGAGCAGTGACATATGCTCAACATGGATATAAAGTCCATTTTTCAGGACATACTTAGGCTGCACATGCCTTATCACTGGGTTACCCTCATAGCAAAATCTGAATTCACAACCAGGTACCAAGTTGCCCGCCTGTTTCTGGATGACCTGAAATGCCCGTACAGTCTTCAGAGGGATGGGAAACATAGTGGCTTGCAGGAGCACAATCTTGGGATCTCATGCCATGTGCCTACTTGCTTGGAGCTGGGATTTTGGACATCCTAAAAGCAGGGGCAAAAAGCTCTGTGGCCCTGGGATGGCTCTGCAGTCTATGAATGTGCTGGAACAAGTGAGAGGCATCAGTACTCCAGCAACAATGAATTAAAAACAAGCTGATTTAACACAGTATACAATGTGAAATCTATATGGTGTTCTTAATTCTTTTTTGAGGGCACTTAATTCCTGGAGGGGAAGATGTTTGTCTGAATAATGGCTGTAATACTGTTCCACCCTGCTTCCTCCTCGTCCATCTTTACTTTGTCATAGGGTTGTAACAAACTTGGGATCAGTTCTGACATCTGGCTAGTTCAGCTTCATTTGCCTAACTGAGCTTCAATCTGCCGTGCAAGTCCATCCCCTGCTCTTCTCTCCATGAGCAGCTCCCAGAGTCTCCAGGCAGAGATGGATTGCCTGCATGTCATCTGCAGCAAAATATCCCAGCACTTCAAGTAAATAATTTTGCAGCAGCAGTTTCTTTTCAGGATACTATTTCCCTCATGACATCTGTTTTGCTCAGAGAAGTAAGCATCTGCCCACTGCAGTGCTAACAGTTGGTTTCCTCCCAGCATGACTGAGCTAAATAATGCACCACTTTTAGTGTGTTCAAGATTAAAAATAATGGGTTCCTCTGATAATTACAAACAGGATGAGATGTTTTGTCTTTCATCTACAACTATTATGCCTTTTGAAAATGCAACCTGTTTTACATGACACTATTCAAGGCTTGCTTGCAGTCTGGACAATTTACATACAAAAAGCAGAACTATGAACACCAAGTTTTTTCTTTTCCAGATGAGCTGGGAAGCGAAAATGTGAAAAGGTAAAGTTTATGACCATCATTTTTATTTTTACTATAACGGTGTATTACGATTTTCAGCTCCTTCACTACCCATTTTAATTTAACCGTACACTAAACACCATTACCTTTTGCCATCAATTACTCCAGTTAACTACCTCTAGAAGTGGCTGAAGTGTGACTTCATTATCTAGCTGAAGGTGTATGACTAGAGCAGAACAGGAGTTATGGTGGCCAAGGCAAGCACTGCCTGCAGCCACCCAACGCCTGCCCTGGGCACTTCTGGCTCCACCAGCCACAAGACACCACCAGACATACAAGGTGCCCCACAAGCAAAGGGGATCAGTTCCCAGGCTCAGCACCGGCTTTATTATTCAGAATAAGCTCTGTGTCTTGCTCCCCTGTTTTTCAAGTTTGTCTTCTCACTCTGGGTTGAGGTAGAAAGGCTCATCTGGCTCCCATGGAAGCAATGCCTTCATTGCTGGGAAAACAAGCCAAAAGCTGTGTGGCTCTTACAATGATAGTTTTTATTTTTACCTTTTATTTAGCAAGATGGAGCTCACCAATGCTGGAAGTTATTAAATTGGCTTGACAGGGCAGGGGTGGGGTGCTAATAATATTTTTAATACCATATGACTCCAGGAATGATCAGCAAAGAGAAGCTAAACAGAAGCATTTAAATAAACGCAGAGTTACTCTACTCATGACCTTTCCTTATGATGTTGCTGCCAACAGTCACAGCTAGGACAAAACTCCAAGCCCTCTGCTTTTATCACTGGAGCAACAGGACTTTTTCCACATGTACCAGCAGATCAAACTATTTCAGTTTTCTATTTACAAAAGGGACAGTTCTCAAGTAGCTGCAGTGGTCCTGTGCTCTGGCATACCGTGGGCTGCACCTTCCAAGTCTCTCTGTATACAATGTTCCACCCAGCCCTGCCTCTGCCCAGGACTGGCATCTCACCACTGCTCTTTGCATCTGTGTGCAGCCACCTCATTCACACCCACTGGGCTGACATCTTCTCAGATTACTAGGCTAGGATAGCTTTCCAGAGTTTATTCGTGTGTCTGGAATTATGAAAGGCTCATACAAAATTACTAAGTTGTAAATTGTTGGAATTAAGCATTTTGTGTAACGCCTTTTTTTTCCTCCCTCCCTCCTCTCAAGTCCTATTTTTGAAGAAGACACACCCTCTGTTATGGAGATAGAAATGGAAGAGCTTGACAAATGGATGAACAGCATGAACAAAAACGGTACACGGTAACCCCTCTACTCCATTACCCTTCTCATCCTAGCTGACGTAGATCCCATGCATACAAAATACCTTACATTGATTTTCTATGTGTGTCACTCCTTTTCTACAATATTTTTAGTTGTTTTCTTGGCTTCCTACTACTAAAATAGCAGTACAAATGTCAGGGGTAGAATTCTTGAGAGTATTATTTTAGTTTGTGTGGGAGCTTATTTTTAACATATGATACAATATCATAAATGTTTTTAGTATCCAGCAGACACTTCTATTAAACACGTATAGCTGTGAACAGTATTTATATTTTTAAATACGTTTTAAGTACTAAGCACTAGTTTCTCTGAAGCATCTTGTCCTTTCAGTCTTCAGAGTTTCTACGCTTTTGTGCTCCACATTGTGCTATAGTCGATACATTTACTCATGGTTCAGACCACCATTTACTTAAAATTGCTCCCTGGATCCTATGAATACATCCCTCTCCTCTTCAAGTCCTTTCCCTCACTTGCCATCTCTACTGCTTGAAGCACAAGCTGCGCTTGGCTGCCAGCACCATTCACCATCTATATCCTCTCTGGCTAATCTATCAGCCCATGAAGTAATTAGTACTTGAGGCAACCAACACCAGCAACATCTTCAGCTCCTTCTTACCTTGAAGTGTCTTTTATTCCCTCCCCTTCCCCCATTTTCCTCCCAACTGAAATCTCCTGGTCAAAATCTCTAAGGGGTCTGCATCCTCCTTCAAGGCTCTCTTCAGAAATCACAGGCCTTTGGTATGAATTAAGAAGCCTGATTTTGAACTGCTAACAGCTTTTTACTGACTAGGAAATGCTGAAATGTCTCTTCATTTATTTATTTATTTATCATTCTTGGTTTCTTGCCTTATATCCAAACGGCTCATTGGCCTGACCTCCTAGGGATGCTTTGTTTTTCAGGACATAAAACTCTTCGGAGCATTTCTTTGCATCAGCACAGTGCTCCACATGATAGGGTTTTAACCTTCGCAGTCTGTAAGCTCTAGCAGAAAACATGTGCTAAGTGGCAGTAGTGAACTAGAGGCATTAAGTATAGTGCATGGGGAACCAATGCTGTAAATTATTTTTGTAAAGTTCTGTGGACAGAAGGGAGAAAACAGTTTACATATATGAGGGTCTTTTTGTTAATGTTTCCTAAACCCCAGCCCCGAATTCCCAGCTGGACTATAAAGCATAGGTGCAATTATAAGCAGTAGAATGTTGACAAATCGTCCTCCCCTGTTCATAGCAAAACAGTCCTCAGAAGTAGTTCATTTGTACAGGTGTGCATGAACAACTGAAAGATATGTAATAAACCATGGCAACACCTATCAAAGGGAAAGGAGGATTTAAACTGCATCATTTATGCTATGGGAACCATACTATTTTGCAGATAAAAGGGTGCAGAAAAGCATTTATGATTTTACATTCTAGAGAGACTGCATGCTAGAGCTGATGCAATTTTGAAATGTATGTGGAAGAACCACAAAGAGTAACCATAGTCTTCTTTCTTACCCTCTTTCAGCTGACTGTGAATGTTTGCCTACTGTAAGAGAAGAAGAAAAAGAATCCATTGCCAATCCAAGGTACTTTTACTTTATTAGACAATTTGAAGAAATACAGTCAATGCCATTCCAAAATAATCTATTTCTTAATATATAAATAAATACATTTTTTGGTCTATTTAAGTTTTTACGGAGGGACTTTGATTTCAGTTTATAAGGTTTGACACTCTCATTTCTAAACCAGTCTCCACCTCTAAATTGCACGGCTAAATAATCTTGCAGTGGTAAACCTGTGTGAGACAGACAACCAGATGGCACAGATGGAGTTTCACTTGCTGATCAGACTTTAGTCACAGCTTCTGAAGGTGTTAATACAAGCACTCAGCATAGCTTCCTTGACATTCTTCACTGGCACAGAGACCCCACTCCCTCTGCCAGTGGGTGCCTATAGGTCCCCAAGAGCCACTGCCAGATGTTTTGGCTGGAGCTGTGACCTGTTGGACAGGGGCTTGTCTGATGCAAAGAGAAACTCAGAGGATTTTCCCAGTGTCCCCTTGCAACACTTCCCCAGAGCTGGCTCATGGTCCAAACAGAGATCCCAGAAGGATGCAAAACCACAACCCTGACAGCTTGTAAACTTAAAAACTTTCTGGCTGGTTTCCTCAGGATTTTGGCCAGCACCCCTAAACTCCTCTCAAACTCTCATTTTCTCTAATTAAAAATTCTGTTTCCAGCTGGAAGCAAGGGGCTGTACATCACCCTTTCCCGCACATTTGTGTTGCAGCTGCATTCTGGGGAGCAGGCAAAGCAGCTGCTCTCTGCCAGGTCACAAAAACAAACAATTAGACCATCTTGTGTGCCAAGAAAATCCCTGGTGCAGTGGAAGCAGCAGATGCAAACAGGCAAGGGTGGAAGCAGGCAGGGGTGGAAGGAGAAGGACACAAGTCTTCCCCTTCCTGTGGCACCAGGTAACTCAGCTCAACATGCCTCCGTTGGAGCTGCACCTCCCACTGCACACTATGATAGTAACTCAGAAAAGAGGAGAATTGGGATTTATTGATTAGGAGTGGAATAGCAGTGATTTTAAATCACCACTGCTGGAGAGCCTGCAACTCCAAAGCTGCAGTTTCAGCGTAGATTTTGGATGGGGCTGCACCACTGCACCTATTTGTATTTAAAAGGTTTCTGCTTATGCCTATTGCAAGAGAAAATTGATGGGGTGTGTGGATTATTTATTTTTTTTAAGACTTAGATTCTAGGTTCCATATGCAACCAAGCATAGTAATTTTACCCTAAGCAGCTGGAAAAGATGCTGGATTCACTAGCCCTCTGGGTCTTCCCCTTCAGCCCCTAAATGATAACTCAGAGGGTGGGAATTACTAAGGAGAGGCAGCTGCACAGTGGTTCTCTAAAAACAGATTTGCTGAGCATACCGCTAACTGTAGTAGGGAGTATAGGACAAAGTGTGCTTCAGTCATGTGTTAACACAGAAGTTAGTTGTACTATAAAAGGCTTTTTAGTCACACCACCACCCTGAGCACTGTTTACTTCTACTAAACAGTTCTTTTTCAGAAAAAAAAAATCATCATGACTTACCAGCTTGACTGACATTTTAGATACCATCCTTGCTAAAGCACTTTTATACTGTATTTGCATTAACCCCATCAGAAGGCAAGGTTTCTGCTCTTGACTGGCAAAACATATCTTTGGGCTACACCCTGCTTCAAGTTCCTCACCTGTAAAATAGAGATATTGTCACTTCAAAGCACTATAGTGAGGCTTAAGACTTGATGCAAAAAAGCAGCCCTGTTCAGATAAGAATGCTTCAGTCAGAGTGAAGGTACACACATAATTTCAACGTATTTTCTTATGACTGGTATCTTAGGATCAGACTGCAGAGAAATTTATGCCTCTAAGTTGCAGGAAGGCAAACAAATGCAAATAAAAAGAGGAGATTTACCTCTAAAATATTCAGAGCTGCTCAGACAAAGGATATTAGTTGAATATAAAGTACAAATTTATTAGGTTCAATTTCAGATTCTGAAAGACGCCTTTGAGCAAATTTCTTCCTCAATTATGGTAATTCCTCTTTTAGATTTTATTGATTATATTCAATATGGGAAACATCTCAAGGCTTCACTGAACACAGCTGGCTGAGTGGTGTTTTTCTGCCTCATAAAGATGCTGGGGGGAGTTCATCAAGACCCAAATGCTTGAACTGTGAATTGATTTTGATAAGATGTCGTTTTGAAAACATGTAAGACTAAACATTTCAATAATGACATTTTGACATTTTCAGAATGCAACTTGTTCCAAAACTACTTTTCAGAGTAAGAGACTTTTTAATATAAATTTTTAAAAGGTTTAAAGAACAAAGTCCTGTGGTGGTGAAATATTTCTAAGTTAAGTGTTTCCCTTAACTCAAAGCTACTTTTTCAAATTTCATTTTGCATGAAAATTTGAAACATGCTTCCTTTTGAAGAGAAAAAATATCTGAAATGGTGGGATTTCATGGTAAACAAAAAAATTTATTCTCATTTCTGCAATTGAACCTAATCAGACCAAGATCTTCTGCTTTTTCTGACCAAACTCTTAGCTGAATAAGTAATGTCAGAATAAGAACTTCTTACAGATAAATGGATATTTACAGCAGCTTTTTTGAGAAAGTGCAGTAAAATGAAAGAAAACTATTAATATAGCAAAAATTTGTACTTATGATCATCAAGGCTGCAGATGTGTGAACAAGAGGCAAGATATGACCGCCTGAGCTCCTTTGTAGGTTAAGGTCATCTGCCTTGCACATAAGCTAAGTTAAAAATATATACATATATTGTTTTAAATATATATATTAAAAAAAGTGTATTCATCTTGCCTTTGAAACCTAGTGCTAAAATCCTGTTTCTGCCTGAGCAGAGAGCCACGAAATCTCCCCACCCTCACTGGAGTTCCCATCCCGTGCATGCAGGAGGGAGCGGGCAGGTGGGCACAGGCAGGGACTGACACTCCTGTGCTGCACAAGGGGGTGCAAGACCAATCTCTTCTCCAGGGACCTTTCCTGTCAAAACAGAAACACAGCCTGTTCCTTTCACAGCACAAGCCTTTGTAGGCTGCTGAGTGCAATGAACCAATCCCCCCCTTGCTTTGTTATACCCCCTGAGGGAGTTTGGTTTTCCTTGGGCACTGCTGGGCACCCTCCTAATCTTTTTGTCTGAAAAAAGGTGGCTTTCTTATGGGGAGATGTTCTGGGTAGGGAATAACTCGGTACAGAAAAATACTCTTTTCCTAGCTGTGCTTCAGTTTGTCAAGGTACTTAAAACCCATGTGAAATATTAAGATTGTGAGTGACCCTTTTAACTTCAGAGGTGGTTTAAAACCCTGCTGTTAATGCTGACTGAAATCTGACCAGCTGATAAAAAAGTCACATTTGAATGCTGGCTTGAACCAAACATTATTAATAAAGCACTAGGGAGCAAGTTAGCTAGGCAGAAACCAGTGAGGTAAAGAAAATTCACCTGTTAAAAAGCCAGATTTAATAAAAAAATTCCATCTCTAAAACACTACCCTTCCCTGTGGAAAGAGGGCACTTTGATTGCTCAGTTCTCACCTGCGAGCAGGAGAAAGGGGGTTCCAGGTAGCACCTGACCAGCACAGAAATAAGACCAGCCCATGCTGCCAGCATCTAGCACCACAGATGGGGTCATTTTAAGCACTACATGGCTGACACATTTGTTTTGATAACACCTTCTCATGGATTCCAGAGATACTTTTGTATAATATTTC